AACGATACTAAATGTCCACTGTGTTTGCCGAACAGTGCTTACCCATGGTCTATGCCTTGGCGCCCAGCCCTTTTCAAAGGCATTCGGTTGGCAGCTCTAGATCTCTAGGCCAAATTATCATCATCAGTAGCGAGCCCAGGATCACCACTCTTGTCAGCCAATGCCGCACATGCAAAACTATCACTCTCAGAATTTAGATCATAAAACAAACGACTAGATTCTAAGATGAGCCGTTTGTAAACCTACACTATCAAACAGTTAGCTCCACATAAACAACAAATGCATGCAACATCTATACTAAATATGATACATGGATCATCTTGGCCTCTCCCCCCACCACCGGCAGCATCTCAGGGGCCCGAGCCAGTGGACCGTTGGAGTCCAGAGTCCTCTCCTAGGCGAAATGGTTCAGCTGGCGAAGAACCCGAGAAAACAATCCTTGAAAGGCTCTGTATGCCCTTCGAATTATATCGAATTACAGTATGCCATACATCTATGCCAATCGAATATACTTCGATACATCTTACAAATGGGATTTCCGAGTTTTGAATGAAGAATGATCAACCACATGGATGCTGAAGGGCAAGCCCTTGAGGGATTGCCTTCATGAAACCGTCTCAATCTGCTCAGAAGTCTGGAGAGTACCTGGAACAGTTTTGGGGGAGAGATCTTGAACCTCCAGCCACCACACGGCACAAGCTCATCCAGCTGAGGCCCCCCACCGTGGCAGTGCGACGGAGTTGGCCCGACTTGTTCAAGAGCAATGGCCCCTGCCCTTGGTTCCTTGGTGGTGTCCAGGTGGGATCAAAGGCCAACAAACCAGGAATGGACCATTGAATGGACGCAGCCGGGCGATTCCAGGTGCACTGGCAGGTGCGAATATGATCCTTCATCCCAAACAATGGACCTTTTAAAAGGACGTTCTTGTACCGCTAAGGACCATTAAACAACAGTGTCTCAGTGAGCAGTTTCAGCTTCTGGGCCACGCATGACCACGCTTGGTCCCGCCACGCTTGGTCCCGCGATGGACCAAGTGAGTGAACATCCGGTTGTCACGCCAAGTGGCGGTCCACGCCTGCCTGGGCCTGGAAAGGATGTGGCGAGTCCAAGCGAAGACCCACGAAGAATATGTCAGGACCCTGAGAAGGCCCTGGTGGCTACTGAAGACTCAGTCCTTGCCTGCCCCAAACAAGCAACTGAACTTAACATCAGCAAATCTGGCAAAGGATTTCGTGAACGTTTATGTATCTCCCAACTACGGTAATGATTTTTGACCTTCCACGTCACCAGTTTTCTGAAACTGCTACGCGACCTGGGAACCAAAAAGAACTAGCACAAAGCCTTCAAGATTAGATTCGGCACTTTAATCGAGTGCAATTCAAGTCAGAACACACTAACAATACTTTGCGCAAGCCTCCTCCTTCTGACGAAAAGGCACATGAGGCGAAAATAAACCAAGAAGCTCGTAACAGGGGCATCGCTACTAGTAACAAGGGCATTACTACTAGTAACAATGATCTTTAAAAGCTACTATATAGTAACCAATCTTCTGCAGAGAGGCACTTCGAGCCCACCTCTGTTTTTGGGGTCGGCACGATCCTGGCCCCTCGGCCGCCTTGAGACGAGGGTGGCCGAGCATTGGACGGCGCCGCAGGCTTGGTTGGAGGTAGCCGTCCCTGAGAAGAAGGCGGACGACTGTCTCGCTTCACCTTGCCTTGGACGCAAAGAGGCGGCTTGGAGAAGGGCGAAGGGGTCGGCCCATGTCCCTTCAAGAGACTCACAACAGAAACTGTCCTGTATTTGGGTTATAGTTGTAGTTCATCATGAAATCAGTTGACCGACCTTCATCATCCTTAAAATTAAGCTTCAGCCTTGCCGCAAGCGAAAAGCAGCTTGCTGACCCGAAACAACGGCGAGTTGCTTTGCGAACTGCTCGAAGTCAGATCGACCTCCGTCCTGGGACGCCATTTGGACCGAGGAATCCTTCTCAAACGATGCCTTTTGTTTTAAGTTTTAGTCTTAATTCAATTAATAGCTTCTTGCTCCTAGTAGTAAGGACAGGAGCGCCCCTAGTAGCGTCCGATCGCTCCGTTCGTAGCGGTGCCCTTGTTACTGCAAATGTCCAGAAGAAAACTGTAGTGAACAGAATTGCTGTACACGCTGTGGTAGTTGGTTGTCACGTCCACGTAAATTGGTAGTTGTCAAGCATCTTGTCTGCTTTCAACAAGCACCATGAAGGCGGACTTTAGGGCAAGTCCACACAAATTCCAAGCCGATCAAAACACCATTGAGATGTTCAATAAAACACAGTGGCGCAAGACACAACAAACATGTTTTCTAATAAAACTATAAATATCGTGTCAGCAGGCTTCGGCAGCCAGTCACACCAGACACTATGCAAGCTGGCTGAGGGCAGAACACTTCTTTCAGCTCTACATCCAGTCTACTCTGCCTTCCACCTAGCAGCTCTCAATAAATGCCTTCGGGTCACTTGAGATGAATTTCTTCATGAAGGTCCGGCGGATGATCTAAGATTAGTGGCTTCATAGATCAAACTGTCACTAAGGGAACTGCACGAAAACTGCACGAATGGCTTAAGGGGCTTGCAAAGGAGATTGTTGTGTGGCAAACATCTGTCAGGTTCACAAGAAATGTCCAAACAAGCGTGTCTCATATAAATGTAAAGCATTGATAGTGATGACGACTGGTGACATTGACATCTGCAAACCAACTAATCGTCTGTTCAAGTCTTACAAGTAGCTTGCCTTGTGACTTTTATGAACTTGGTCAAATGATATACAGTATTACACATCATTGCAAGTGCACATGTCATATCTCCCATCCCCCAATTTCGCCAGGCTTGCCGTGTGCGCTTGGTAGTTCCGTCACGGCCTTGGGAACTGTCAATTCTGAAACGACCAACGACCTCATCCCAACCATCCCAGGCCCACCGGACCTCTCTGGTACGCGAAAGCCGAGGCTGAAGCATTGGCATCTGGTCGGCTGCCCTGCTGCCCCATGGCGACCTTGCTGGATCCGATTCGAACGGGGATCGGTACGGTGTTGGGTTCCGCTTCCCGGAAGGTGCCGCATGGTCTGGACAAGTGGGTCTATGATGACACATCTTTTGCATATGCCTTGGGTCTATCCTTATATACCTGTAACAGTGGATGATGATGGTTAGTAAAGGCCTTGTTCAAAAAAGAGTGATCATTGTTGACTGACTGTTGCAGGTAAGAACGGACAGACCCAACATATGCCAATATATAGGGTATTACGGTGTTACGGTATTTCTAGCACCGCTGCGTTGCACGTGCGGACCGCGGCCCCCTGATTGCAACAAGCACATGGTTGAAACACACTGCCAAGTCTGAACCGTTCAACAACACCGGTCTCAACAAATTCCAGAAGACAAATATAAAGGTATGAAATCAAGCAGCATGCTGCAAACGCTGATCCCAACTGAGCCTAAGGGCCAAAATTAACGCACAATAACAGCATCCCATGCGATTCACACCCAAGCTAAGCTCTTTATTCACACCACCCGCCACCAGGCCAGCTCATGCCCCATGGCCCGCTCTTGAGCAGTTCGGCTGGGCACCCCCGCTGCTGGTCATAAACACCGAGCGAAACGCCAGCGCAGCTCCTAAGACAGGAAGTGCACGAAACCTCTTTGCACGAGGGACCAGACAACCGCCCGCGGTGTTGCATCAGACTAGGAGAGCCCATGGATCCTCTGCAGGCAGCCCGGGCTTCATGCATCATGAACCCTTGGAAATCTCGTGAACATCTCTGTTAACCCTGCACAGGATGAGAAGTGAACCGTCCGCCAGCTGCTCAACTCTTTGCTGCCAAGCAACTTTACTCAACTCATCACGGTCGGCGTCACCGGCGGATTTCGCGGGTCGCCGTAGGCCGCGGGTCTTTGGTGGTGGGGGCTAAGCTGGTTGGCTAGGTGCTTGGGTTGGTGGGAGTTGAGCGGATGTGGCTGGATGCGGCTGGAGGCTGTGGCGTGATGCTGAGAAAATGCTGAGAGGTGAAAAATGTAAGGAGGCGATGAGTCCGGGCGATGTTTGATGAGGGAATCAGGCTGCAACAGTCATCAAGAAAAAATCACAAAGAACAAAGATTGGTTTGCCTGAGCTCTTGATTTGGCAACATTTCAGCTGTTCCAGCCCCCCTGGTTACGAGCAACTCCTTTGCTGAACTTGATGTTCACGCGGCCGGCGTCAGTGTTTCAAGACCCTTCGCAGAAATCAGCGAACTCCACTGCAAGGATGTGCCCGAGCATCACAAACGCGAGGGATGTCAAGCTACTAGTAGCGATGCCCTTGTTACTACTAGCAAAGGAAGCCCTTGTTACTAGTGCCAGGAGCTACTAGTAGCTTCTTGCTCCTAGCAGCGATGCCCTTGTTACTAGTAGCTTCTTGTTCCTAGTAGTTGCAACATCCGGAACACCTCCACCCAGCGGTCTTGTGCCAAACACTCGAAAAGGAAACAACCTGCGCTGGGAAGGACATGCTGCTGAAGAAAAAGATCACACACACAGCGCAATCACCCTGCAACTCCACAAAATGTTGTCAGTGTTGTTCCCTAGAAAACAGTACGTTGCCTATGTTAGACCGTCCACGATCTATGTCAATGTGTGTTTCGACATGCCAGGCAAGGGAGAATCCTGAAGATTCAGAATGAAGCCACTCAAATGGTTAATAGTTAAGGAAAGGGGACAACCTGTGAGGAGCACAATCTCCAGTGTAGTAGAGCACTAGCATATCTCAATCCTTTCAGATCCTTTCAGCTTTGAGACACTCTCTAACAACCCCACTTGCCGAGATCAACAGCTCCCGTTGGTGATCAACGGCCGCCCGCATCGAAACAAGTAGAGCTTGACCGATTAACATGGCTGACCTGCTGGGGCTGACCTGCTGGGCCCCTGCCTGACCAAACCAATCAAATCAAATCAAAACGAAAAAACATCGACTTCAATTTGCCCACAGGACCTTCCGGACCTTCTGCCTTGTCCCCAGCTTGGCGAATGCTGCGGCGCCTGTGGCGGGTGGGTGCGCGCATGTGCGTGTTTTCCTGGAAGGTCTTTCACGTGCAAAGGATGTGTCCAACATCATGAAGATTCCCAAAGTCTTGCAGCGACCAATCTTTTAGGCTGTGTTTGTCAGTTCAGGAAAATGCCCAAGCAGTCTAAGGGGGCCTACAATAGCCTTGAGCATCATGTGATGACAAGGTGGTTTCTCACTACTTGATGTGATTCCTCCCCTCATGAAACTTCTCCCCTCCTTGACCTAGTACCACTTCCCACTGTTGAATGTATAAGTCTCGGGTACCAACCTAAAGTGTCTAAAGCGAGGACCTGCTGTATAGCAGCAAGAGAATCAAATTTGTGCTGGGCCAACCTTTATTCATGCTCAGGAGAAAAACAAAAAAACAAACATGCTGCTACAGCCACATCTTGTTGCAGCTCCTACTTCTGACAAACACCCTGAAACCACCTAGCCTCCCACACACAACTCTGCCCACGCCCTCCCCACGCCGTTTTGGACCGCTCCGCGTCGTCCAGGCCCAGCATGTCGCGCAGCACCCGCAGCACCCGGAGCTGTTGAGCCACCGGAGGTCTCAAGGTTCGAAAGGGCACTTTGGTCCGATCGCTTCCCTTGAGCTCCACCACCAAGTAGTAGAAGACATCAAAGTAGGTGACCTGACTCCCGGTCGGTACAAGGCGCCTTCCGACCAGTGCGGTTCCGGGGAAACATGAGGACATGTTTGGGCATTCGAGGTTCTCTCATGGTTGGTTTTGGCTTGAGTGCCACAAATCCATGATACCTGGAAGAACGTCCTTGGAACTTCTAATGTTTGGCATTCGGATTCGAAAGTGGTCTCAAGGTCCCACAGGTTCTATTCCCATGCCAAGACTTGCAAAAGAATGGCATCACTGAGACAAGTGGCAGCTTCTGCAATGATGATCTCCTCAATTTCTGACCTCATTGCGCGGCAGGTGTCAGGTATCCCACCAATATAGAGGAAGTTCTCTGACCAGCGGCCTCCCAGGAACCCTCTTCCAGCTCCTACTGTCGTTGCATTGGCAGCCATGGCTTCAGGCAAAACAGCCGGCACAACTTGACTTTTCAATTGTCCTAGGCCAGTGGTGCAGCATCTGGCTTGCCAGGACCTACTGATACTGGCTTCAAAGACCAGTCTCCAGCTGGGTAATGATATAATGTAATGTAGATAGATTTTATATATTCCTGGATCCCTAAGTCCTCACTTTGGCAAGACCAGTGCCACCTCAGCACGTTGAACCGGCAAGACCGTTGAACCCATCAGCAAGAACCCGAGACACGGACGTCTCACGAGACACTCCGAGACACATCTCCACGAAGTCGCTCGTGGTTTTGCCGGATCCTCAGAAAGACGAAGCCAAAGGCGGCAGCTAAAAGACAAGGCCGTCTCTGTGGGCTTGAGATTTGTGGAAACTGGTCGAACTGCTACACTTTGCTTGCTGTTCATTCTCACTGGTTAATCTTTTTCAGGCGATCCATATGCCAACAAACTGCAAACCTGTTTTTTGGGAGGAATGTGCTCTTCCTTGACCTCTGACTTGACCAACGCTTCCCCCGAGTTCCAGATGTTTCTTAGAAGCACGTTCAACAATCGGATTTATGCTACATCAATGCACCTCACTGCACTACACCCCTGCAGCAAACCACCCTGGCTAGGCTAGGTGGCTAGGTTTCCGACCCTCTTGAATCACCATGCAAGGATCGATTGCGGCTGCTGAGCTGCAATCCTAGACCTTTCATGCACACCAGCTTCTCTTCTGCCACATCGCGCGGAAAAATCCATACAGCTGCGCCCAGCAGCAACACCACTGCCTCGTAAGTGCAGGGTTCTTTCTCATGCAAACTCAGACCCGTGGCGATACATTACAATTTACGTTACACACACATACATACATATAACTGTATATAGATCAAACCAATTTTCATAAAATTTAAATGCTCAGTACACATGCTGAATGGGATATTTGGAAAAAATGTGATGGCAAACTCGTGTTGTTTCAGGCACGGCCTCAGTTCAGCTCCCCCAAAAGCTATCTAGATTCAACTCCATGGCTTGGGATCAGAAGGGTTCACTCAAGAGGTAGGTTAGGTGTGGGAACGAAAACTCGACACTCCGATCTCATGCGAGATCATGTGATGGCCAAGCCAAGTCTAATCAACATACGGAAACCTCGTGTTTTTCTCACACTCAAGTGGCCAGTTTCCATAGACCTAGGCCGCAGAACAGCACTGGACCGGCCAAGCAATGCAGTGCTCTCCAGTAAGCGCTCGGCGCACGTGCGTTGTCCAGCTTCACGGTGAAGATGGCCCAGCCGGGGGAGAACTCTTCATGAAACTGGACCATGGCAGATTCAAAGGATAGCTTCAAAGACCTCCTAGTAGCGTCCTTGCTACTAGTAGCTTCAAAGACACACTAAAAGCTTGTTGTTCCTAAGAAGCTTCACAAACCTACTGGTAGCTTCTTGTTAATACAGGTGAAGCGATTCCCAGTGAAACGATTCCCATGGCAGATTCAAAGGATTATATAAACTGATCAAACTTCCAACCCAGAAGGTTTGGGTGAGTCCTTGCTGAGCCACTTGGTGAGATTCGGTGAGATTCGGCAAGTCTCTTCCAGGTGGGGATTGGTGGAAGGCTTAGCAGCTCTGTTCGTGGGTGCAGGATTGGGAGATCAACCGGGCTCACATTTTGAGGATCCAAGCAGGATGGTCCTGGTTCACTGTGAGAAGTATGTAATGACAAGAACTCACTCAAATTTATTTTGGCCTCTTCAGCATGAACATGTCCCTGATGTCTTCTCGTTGGATTCACTATGATTCAGTTGGATTCCATTTCATTGCGTCGTCCTAGCCTGAGGCTGGCCTGCTTGAGCAACACATGACAATACAAAACACCATGATGACTGCTTGAAGCCTTGCGTGGTTACAAAACTCCCAGTCACAGGCAGCTAGAAAAGCGCACATCGCATACCTATATAACTCTATATAGTCCTAGTTCCTTTTTGTATCTTTTTGTCTGGCTGCAGCAGCGAAGTTCCACAAGCACTGATTTCTCACGGCCTTGAGACGTGCCAGCCCTCTGGAACGTCTCTGACCAGTGACCCAGTTCATGCAACATCTGCACATCTCCCTCTCTGCCAGCGACCGAGCACAGTCTTCCAGGTCCTCCCTTTTTGCAACACATGCACTTGCTTGCTGAAGTTACACCCGCACATGCCGATAACCACTGTGCCCCGTTTTCTGGAGGCCTTGTGCCCATGCAGCAGAACATCACCTGGGTAGAACTGGAGTAATTAGTTGTGGATGCAAGTCTAGAGTCTAGATCCGCTCGAGCTAGCTGCGCTTTCAACATCTTTCAACCCCATCTCCAGCTTTGACTTTGCATTTCCGGGTCATGTCCTGGTGTTTTCACTCCTCGCGTCTCTGAACACCGAAAAGCATGGCATGAGTGATGACGAATTGGACACATTCACCATCTCAGCATCTGAGCCCAACCTCTGGCACTGTGCCAATCCAACCTCCAAATCAGCCCGTCTTGCCACTCGACTGTTGCTCCAACAGGTGCCAGTACGCTTGGCCGCTGAGCTGACCAAGCTTGGTCAAAAGCTCCGGAAATCGTACTCCGACAACGCACGCTTGGACAGCCATGGATAGCATGATCACATCCTCAGCTGCAGTGGTGTTCCATGCGGGTGTTCAAGGGATGGCCCCGCTTCGGGATGAGCTGTGGTCCGGACGAACAGAAACTGTGGTCTCCCTCTCTCTCTCTCTCTTTCCTGAAGGATCTGATAAAGGTTTGATGTGTTGTTATGTTTGAACCATGCATGTCGTGTATAATACTTATCATTCAGTACAAATACTTATATATATATATCTTATCTTTCAGTCTATGCATGGCCACGTGTCTTTGGTGCTATGCTCACTCGTGCGGGAATTACGGATGCTTCCTACATTCGCCTGTCCACACCACAAGTGGTCCGCAGTGCTCAAAGCATTCCTCTCTCCAATTGGTCCATCCCATCCGAAAAGACCCTCACCCATCTCATCTCCACAGTCGCCGTCTCTGCACGCATCTCCATCTGCTCCCACAGCGCTAAGCTCTGCTCCCACCGCCGCGCCAGGCCGCAAGCGCGCATGGCCGCGTTGCCGGTGCGAGCGTTCACTGGTGCAGCTGCGCTGTGGTCTTCATAGCGCGTCAACAAGGATAAAGCATGGAGCCAGTGAGCAGACTCTGCACAAGCACCTCAACCAGGAAGCATTTGGGGTCCAGAAGAGGGATGATCACATGCAAGAGCGATGCGTTGTGTTTTTGCTGCTTTCTCTTGTTTGCAGCCGTGTTCTGGGGGCAGGGAATCTTTTCACGCATCTCACTGACAGTTGATTCTTGAGACCAATTGTCATTAAGGTGTGTCTGTGTTCTTCCATGGATACGAGGTGCTGATCGCGGCATTGTACATCACCAGGTCAGCACTGTTGGCGTCCTGCTCTCGCTCGTAGTCGTCCTTGCAGAGAGCCCCCCATCGGTTTAAAAAGGAGAACCCCATACAGCATCGGTGGTTTTCGCTGTTTGATCGTCTGGGTTGACCATACGGGCCTCAAAGAATGTCCTAATGCATGTACACCCTTTTCAATCGAACATTCTGAAAGGTGAGAGTCATGGTTGGCAGTCACTGGGACCAAACTAGATCTCCACAGCGTGTTGGCACAGCGAGTATGTTAACAGTACTAGTCACTCGTCGTTTTAACCAAGGCGGAGGTTGGCTGAATATATATGATCATGAACAATAATGGGCAATTGACAGAACCACCAACAAACCATCCTTTTTCGCTGCCTAATGGTGATTGAACTGGTTGTCTGTCCAACAAGTATGGTCACGGGCAGAGGACAAGGCCAGGAACCGATGCTGTATGAGGAACGAACAGGTCAAGGCCACTTAATAGTTGTGTCATTGAAGAACAAACAGGTCATCTCTACGAAAGTGTTTGAGTATCCTTGTGCACTGTTTGCTTACCGAGCAGCCAACAAACGCAGGGCATGCTGCCACTGGCTGGCATCTTCGCATGAGCTGATCGCCGCGCTGTATACCACCGCATTGGGGGCCAGGGTCGCCAACGACTGCTCAAGCCTTGGGAGAAAAGAATGAGCATGAAGTGCCATGAAGCTGCTCGCGGCTCATGTCGATCCTAGGATTCACCACACTCACCCTAGGATTTGAGCCTCCAATTCCCTGCATCCCAGTGTCAATCTCAAGGCCTTCTGCCACTGGCTCCCAGCCCCACATCCTGCGATTGCCGCTGAATAGGTCACCACATCGGCTGAAAGGCATGGAACGTCCAATAGCGCCTCCAACACTGCCAGGGAGTTGGGCCAAAAGTGACTTCGCACCGCTGCAGTCAGTAGAACGTTGTAGGCCACCAGGCTCCTGCGAATCCGACCAACCAAATCGCTCGGCAACTGGGGACTTTTTCGTGTTGGTTCTGCTTGATGAACACTTGGTAAGGGCATAGCATATCAGGGTCACATGTTCCTTTGCATGGTCATATTTGTCTTCAGCCAAGTATCTCTGGCAGGCCCTGAGCTCGAATCTCATCCATCACGTTGAAGCACATCTGCCTCATGTGCCAAAGTCTAAAAGAATCTATAATTTGCTCTATGAGGACTGGATCGGCTTGCTTAGGTGCGAACATCGCACCTATTGATGCTTCATAAAGTGAACCCAAAGAAATCAAACTCCAACCATCATTGTCATCTACCTGATGTTCGTCCAACTTGCCCCAACTGCTCTTGGGTAAGCATGAAAATGACCAGTTGCCACTGGCCCCCCTTCTCGCTGCAGCTCATCAGCGCGCAGTAGGTGATCAAGTCGCCCTCCACACCTGCCGATCCCGGAGCCCAGCCTTGATCCCAAAGCCTTCGAAAAGGAGCGCACCTAGCTCCTTCCTTTGGCGAGTGCTTCCCAGAAATCGTGGCAAACGCACGGAGATGACTTGTGTAATGCTGCAGCATATGGCTGCTTTTTCATGGAGATGAACAGTCTCATCCTGCTTGTCTCTCCCACAAACTGAACAGGGCCACTGCGGCCTTGTCCACTCCCACCTCTCATTACAATAGCCCAAAACAAAGCAACCGCCAGCAACACCGCGGTCGACGAGAAACACCTTTTGACGAGAAACACCACGAAGTCCTTTTCCCTGAAACAATGGAAGTGGAAAACCACTGGTTTGTAGAGGAAAACAGTCTTCCTTTCGAGGCCATCTTCCACGTAACCATGTTTGGAGGGTATCCGTTGCTCAACACGCGGCGGGTTCCGCCGGCCGCCTGAGCTCTGTTGCTCCTCGAACACATCCAAAGCCAAGCGCCACTGGCTTCCGCTTTCGCAGGCACTGATCGCGGCACTGAAGAGTACCTCACCGGAGCGGAACGGGTCCACCAGGGTGTGATACGGTGCCCCGATCGTAGCGTCACTTGCTCCGGTGGCGCCCTTGTTGGTGAGCTTTTCCCAACCAGTTCGAGAGCTCTAAGTCTTCGGAACTGTGTCTCTCTATATGCAAAAGACAGCTATACCCAGCTGTATGCCATGCGTCGAGCGCCCTTTTTAATGGGATGCGATGGGTAAAATGCCCGGACACCTAAGATGTAGACTTCATGAAGAATGATAAGAATGAAGCCTCCTACCTTGGAAAACCTCCAGAACGTCTGTGCAACAACTGATGTTCAACACACACGCTATTATCACTATTGTGGTCCAACACCTGCACCCCAGTTCACATCCCCAAACAAACTGAATCCAAATCCAGAGTGTCAAAATACAAAGACCATCAAAACAGGCTTCTCTAGGGCCAAAAACACTTAACAAGGAGTCTTCCGTGCGACTTGTGCCGCGCCCAGGTGCCACGTTTCCCAAACTCTGCCGCCGCGCCGACCGGAAGATGGCCAGTGCCATGGGCCAGGCCGAGCCGGTGGAATCGGCGCACGCGGAGATGGCGCTGCTGTAGAAGACCACGTCCAGCTGCAGCTGATCCCGCGAAGCGTCGAAGAAAAGCCTGGGAAGAGAAACGGGTACGAACGACACAAAATCGAGTGTAGGTCTATCTAAATATGAAGGAATTGGTGAGATCGGCTAAGTGGCCAAAAGGGCTGAAATCCTGGATCAAGTGGCAGAACAAAATGAGAAACTGCTGGGTGCACCAAACTGGTGGCAGGTTCTGATGCAGTGCCTGCTGGGTGCAAACAAACAAGCATCTCATCTCCTTTCCCCATGCCAGCAGAAGCACACCCAGGCCCAAGATTTCGTCAAGTGAACAAATAGAACAACTGACCAAGTGTTCCTCCTGTCAACTTATTTACAATCCAATTCTTGCCACAAATCAGCACATGGCCTGAGGCCACATGTGTGGAAGGAACTCTGGATAACTCTGGACTCTGTGAGGCGGATGCCGATGCCTTTTGAATCTAGATTATTTAGACAATCTTTAGCATCTTAGCTACATTCAGTTACATAGGCTTCCTTCCCTGTGTGCTACTTTCTGAGGGCATCCTCTGTGCAATTATATATCCCTAGGTCCGGTACTGTAGGATGTTTATCAGCAAGTTCGGCCATGGAGCGAGAGCGCTGCTTGCCATTGCCCACTTTTCTGACATGCGCTCACTGCAGCGCTATAGCCTTGGACTATCCATACCCCTCACAACTGTGCCAGATTCTACAGGTGAATCCACTGATGATGAGAGTGAGGGCCCATGTGCCCAGCCCAAAAACTCCAGTCCTTGCCAGAACCAGTCTCCAGTTTCACCTGTCTGGCCCTGGCCTTTGTTTTTTGATTGCACCTCAACCAAGAGGACAAACGAATCAAAGAAGGGACCTATCCCAAGGCACTGATGAGGCTGGCTTGGAGCTTCACTTCGTGCAGGTGCTCAAAAAGCTCAAGTGCCACCGTCCTCAACCAGAAAAGCAAAGGTTCAATTGCCATAGGATGCCAAACCGCTGAGGTCAACATCCGGACTCTCTTGTGCAGTTTGGGTCAAGAGAAATCACGCCAGATTTATGTGACTGGAAGTGGTCATGGAATAATTTGATGGCCATGCTGCGTGAACAAACCATGAATCCACTTATTCGTGATCAATAGTGATCACATGATATATATATATATATATCATATTTTGTCAACAATCCGGTGATTCTTCTCATAGACCTACAAACTACACCTTCCCCCCGAAACCTGGTAACCCCGGCAGTTTTTCCCAGTGAATCTTTTCGAAGCTGCCAGGGGTCCATTCATTGGACCTCTCACAGGAGCTGATGATGGCATTGTGAGAAATCACATCGGCCTCCAAGGCTTCCTTCTGCAAAGCCTCCTGAGTTGGGGGCCGGGCTAGGACAACCAGGACCGGCCTAAAAGGCCGGAGCGAGAACAAACGAGTCATCTGAGAGAACCCTGAGTGAGTCATCTGTTTGGCAGTTGAGACTGCGGCAACATGCTGCAATAAAGCAGCTGAGATGGGAGAACATATGAGAAAATGCTGGACGAATCACTGAAAACGGAACTGATAGCCTTGGACATGTCCGGGGATTGGCACAGTTCAAAGCCATAGTTCACTGACGGACCTCCTCAAGTAACGGCAACAAACGTCCCTGAGAAATAGTGCAAACAGCCTCCGTGCTGGTGCCGAAGTGCACAACACAATGTGTTGCTCCCGACCTCTCCTGATTGATATGGACCCGAAGTGCCTCCCTCGCGACTTCTTCACAGGAAATTCCCCTGATATAACTCACCACTAATCCAACCTCCGGGGATGAAGAACTGAGGTGCAAAGCTGAGTGTCCAAGAGGCTCAAGCCCACTTGCCAGTTGCCGCTCTTCCCACATGCACTGATGACCTCTGCAAGGCAATCTGACCCCTCGTTCCAGGTCAAATCATGACATGGCCCAGCCAGGTTCTTAGAGATTCTTTAGCCCTAAAGGCCCTAGACATCGCTAGACTCAAATTGTTTGCGGCCCCACTCAGGGCTGCCCACCGGCCAATGGCAGCACGGGGGGTCCCTTGCCGATGTGTGTCTTTGATCATGTTTGATCTGACTGGCAATGAAACGAACGTCAAGTCACACTGTTGTAAAGAATTGTGTCTGCCCGAACGACTCTCACTCGAAGGTCTTCCAGGCAGGCAAGCGCGTGTTGCCAACGATGGCTTTTGTCAAAAGCACTGATGGCACGAGTGTAGGTCAACAGCGCTCCTTGCAAGGCATTCTTCTGACAATCTGCCACTGACGCAAGGGCTTGCTCCCATCTCAGCCTCCGCCCCAACATTCCACGCCCTCGCTGAACACATGGCGAGCACTTGGCCCTACACACCTACAGCATCAGTTCACTGAGGCGGATGCAGTCAATTCATGTTGCAAAAGGTTCACGGAGAGATGATATACCGCCTTCCATGTGCTGTGAGGCTACAATCCTCAAACCTGTCTCACATGAATGACATCAACAAAAATAAACCTCCTCTCCGGGTCCTGAGGATCACTTCCTTGCCGCCCTACTAGTCCCCATCATACTCATACCACCGCTAACACCGCTCGACTGCTTTCAAGTGCCGGCCACCTTTTTTCTCCCTTTGGACCACCCCTGTGGCCGCGCGCTGCAGCTCTTCCATCGCCCACAACACCGTAGCGGATGGCCCTCGCTGCCCCGCCAGGCACGGAACGGCGGCCACACACGCGGCCGCGGTCGTGGAGGGTGAGGATGAGAGCTGAGAGAGCTGGGAGAGGATGGTCAAAGCATGGACCCAAGCAAGACCTTCCTGCAAAGGGGGGTGCGACAAAATCGATACGGTAAAAGGTTAGTGTTTTTTTAGGTGCTAGGTGAATCATCCACTTGAGAATCCGTTGTCATGATTTTAAAAAGAGGATCACGTCCCTCTGTCATTATGAATGCTCAGCTTGAGTCGCCCGTCTCCGAACAAATAACAAGCAAACAGATCGAATGTGAACAGTATGTGCCCTACGGCGAAGCTCAACCTACTAAGTTCTTGCCATGAGCTTCAGAAAAGCCCCGTTTTCACGAACTGTCCAGGCCTCACACGCACTCAGTGCAGTATAGTAGGTGATTGAATCTCTCTGCAGGTTCACTAAACCAACTTCGTGGAACAAATGCAGCGCCAGTGGCCAGTGTGTCCGGCAAGCGCTGATCGCTGCGTTGTAGGTGATCAGATTGGGCTGGAGCCGTTGCACTGGCAACCACCTCAGCAATTCCAAAACCTGCCAGGGTCAGCAGGGATAGTGCATAGCAAAATATGAAAAAAACAGATATATTGTTATACTGTTATATAGAAACAGCAGAACCCCGCATTTTGATTGAATCTACAACTTGACGTCTTAATAGTCATCTTAAATCCAACCCGGTCGTTCTATATACAAGTCTTTGGATGCTATGAGTCTTCCGCAACGTATTCGCTGGTTGGGACTATGTTGGGCTCCTCGTGACGCCACAACTTGGTTGGGATTTGATGTGGATATCAACATGGAGATTAAATGTGGTTGTGGGGTTCCTCTGTGGGCACTGCGCCTGCGCCCATTGGCTACACTTTTCCAGAGCACTGATCGTGGCACTGAAGGAGATAATGTTGGCATCCAAATGACGACAATCCGCCAGCAACGACAAAGCCAAACCTAAACGACCACAAGCAACGAGACATCGAGTGATCGACACCAGTTCAAACGACCCCTGAGAAGTCAGACCTGATGTGTGGACTGCTGGTTGTCAAGCGTGTTTGCTCCCTAAAATGGGCGGCTCATTGGCTCATCTAACTGCTAGCCATGCTGCATCTAACTGCTAGCGCGTCCAGACCGCTGTTTCTCTCCTTGTCCAGTCCCAAGTCTGACATCAACCCATCGACCCCAACGGCAAAAAGACAGGCAGGCACGAAACATACGAAGGTGTGGAGTCCCCCAAAAGGAAACAAGATGGAGCCCACGAAACCGAATGCAAACACGTTCAAAAAGCTACATATGTCCAAATGACACTCTTGTAGGACACTCTTGTGGGACACTCTTGTGGGACACTCTAGTAGGAAACTCTTGTGGGACACTCTTGTAGGACACTCTTGTGGGATACTCCTGTAGGACACTCTTGTGGGACACTCTTGCGGGACACTCTTGTGGGACACTCCTGTGGGACACTCATTTGGGACACTCTTGTGGGACACTCTTGTGGGACACTGTTGCAGGACACTCTTGTGGGACACTCTTGTGGGACACTCTTGTGGGACACTCTTGTGGGACACTCTTGTAGGAAACTCTTGTGGGACACTCTTGTAGGACACTCTTGTGGGACACTCTTGTAGGGCACTCTTGTGGGACACTCTTGTGGGACACTCTTAAGGGACACTCTTGTGAGACACTCTTGCGGGACACTGTTGCGGGACACTCTTGTGGGACACTCCTGTGGGCCACTCATTTGGGACACTCTTGCGGGACACTCTGTGGGACACTCTTAAGGGACACTCTTGTGAGCTCTTGCGGGACACTGTTGCGGGACACTCTTGTGGGACACTCTTGTGGGACACTCTTGTAGGAAACTCTTGTGGGATACTCTTGACACTCTTGTGGGACACTCCTGTAGGGCACACTTCGTACGAGACTTCCTCCAAAAGTCACGCTGCGAGGCTGCAAAACGAGCGTTTCGTACGAGACTTCCTCCAAAAGTCAC